CATAGGCGGATCCTGCCCCCCCCCCCCCCCAGGATCACGGGCGATGGCCCTCCAAAAAACTCTGAGAGTATGTTTTGGCCGCCCCCCCCAAACATTCCCAGAACTTCATAAAAGTTTCGTCTATTTACCGTCTGTTTTAACTTTGACTGTTTTAACTGTTTTGTTATAACTTCTGTTTAAGATTCAAAAGCAATTCGGTGCTTGAATGGTGTCCCTACTAGGTACTCGCGAGAGGCACCATGCACTGGACCTCGGATCCCACACCAGTCAGCTGGCGACAAACGGTTGCCCCCCCCCCCCTTCCAAACCCCAGGCTAGATCCACCCCTGTGCATGGTGACGAAACCTTGACCTGGTTTATAATCAATGAAATGAAGCAGTCTGCCTTGAATTACGGCGGCCAATCATTCAGATGGAATTTGAAAGAGGAGATCGGTGAAGCCCCATTTTAATCCATCTGGCTTGGTTATGTGGTTCCCATCTGGGCTGGTTACATGGGCTCCAGATGGGCATATCCGTGTGGGTCCCAGCTGGGCATGCCCAAGTGGGTCCCAACTGGGCGGTCCAGGTGGGCTCCATGTGGGTTCCAGCTTGGCTCCATATGGGACCCAGTCGGTCGCCCATAACATGCTCACATGGGACTAAAATGAGCAGCCCCGATAGGCCCCATATGGTTGTCCATCTCGGACCCACATGGGTCTCAGTTGGACATGCTGGCTGGGATAGTCATAAGTGAGCTTCTTTCATCATGTCTGATGTTTGCTTCATTATCATCAAATGTTGGGCTTTGCCTTTAAAGGCAGTGTTCCATATTTCCACGGGGTATTGAACTGGAATAGCGATCTTGAAAATCATTCGGTGCAGTTCACAGCCCTGCCAAGGTGTGCTTGAACTAGGTCCAAGCTGGGGGACAAACTCAAAAACACCAAAATGGACCCATACGACTAGATAATGGCCCCTTTAAGCCAGAATGGACCTTTTACGTCAATGAGGGGTCTCCTGAGGTCAGAATAGCCTCATAGGGCATAGGCGTGGGAACGTTTCAAAGATTGGGGGCAAGTCCAGTGTATACTAGAAGAGCTATTACTGGGAATCAAGCCTGATGGCCGGAGGGGGGGGGGGGGGGCTTGAAGTGGAAGATGTTCCCAGCCAGCATGTCCATCTGGGGCCCATAAGCGTCCGAGATGGGCAGTCATATAGGGCCCATCAGGACTGCCCACTTCGGTCCTATGTGGGCATTTCATGGGCAACCAACTGTGTTCCATATGGGCAGCCCACCTGGGACCAGCATGGGCCAAACTGAGACCCACATGGGGCCCACCCGGGCTGCCCAGTTAAGATTGATTGCGGTCCCACATGGGCATGTCGTGGGCAACCAACTGGGTCCTGCATGGGTAGCCCACCTAGCACCCATATGGAGCCAAACTGGAACCCACATTAGGAGCGGATAATGGTCCGCTCCTAATCCAAAGAACACATTTTGGAAATAATCAAACACCACGGCTGTTATGCTTAGTGTATATTTAGAGCTGTTCCGCACAGGCGCACAATTTTTGTTATTTGGGTCATGCATCTATATCATTCGGCAAATGGGACTATCCAGCTTACAAAGATTACTCGCCCATTTCAACATTGTTTCCCATGGATACAAAATTATACGAGCGGGTAGGCATTTTGGGTCATTTGGAAGGCATCTGCCTCCATGGACGTAGGAACAGGGGGGCCAGGGGGGCCATGGCCCGCCACTTTTCAAGGTGGGGGTGGCCAGCAATGTTAACTGCCCCCCCCCCCCCCCCACACACACACACTTTTCAGATTAAGGCTGTATTTGGCTTACTTTTGCACTGTACTAAACATGCATGACGATTTACATAGTTCACCAACCATCTCTCTTAAGACGTGTCATCTTTTTCGTTTGCTCATTGGCCATTGCTTAGTGTTACAGCCGCAAGGCCCGCGGCGCACGGCCTGGAGACTGCAACGCCGGGCGTCGAGGCTGCTATTGCTAGGACTTGCGAGCATGCATGTTCAACACCATATTACGTAGTTTTCTTATAAGTAATCAGCTCTGACGGGATCTTGAGCATTTTAAGACAAACTTGGGTTAGCCATGCTAACACGAGGAACCCCATTTCATATACAATCTACAGTCAGGGAGAATTCAATATCTCTGAACAACACAGAAAAACACGGAACTGGAATCCATGTGACAACTATCGGACTACCTGCGGCGATCAGGGATGTTGTTACGTCATTGAGGGTTCCTGTGCTGATCCAGGGCTAACTGCGCAGGTCAGGAGACCTCCCGTGTCAGGGATGGGAACAATGTGATATGATATACCTTGCTAATGCCCTCCGGATCGACCAGGAGATCCCGCTCCGTACCACCAGAATGATAGCAAAAAGACACTTCGCGATGGGACGGAATGGCCCTTTGTCCCCTGACCGGGAACGGTAATGTACCCCTGGTGTTGTACTCAAGAGGCCCCTGTCCCGGATGGGAATAAGGGGTCTTATTATTGTTGAGTAGAGTGGGGGTCTCATTATCGTTGAATAGGGTAGGTCTAAATGAATTTTAAAAATCAGCAAGGTCATGCCATGTTTGCCTGCGAACGTTTATTTCTTTCAGAATGGATTAGTGAAACAACTTACATTAAAAGGTTTGAGCATGCCCACCCAAAACCTCGAGAGCCAGGACAAGGATGGCATGGGTTACAGCTTCCGTAAAACCGAACCGTTTCAGTCACTGCAAGTGCCACCAGACGACGGGCACCATATTAATCTGTCTTCTGCATAGATAAATGGCCACGAAAACACGAAAAATAGAGATTTTACCTCAACTCTCACAGTTCAACCACCAGATTCCAGCCCCCCTTCGCGGTGCTTTAAGGGCAATCAGTTTTTTTTTCATCAGTCTCAAAGTTGCACACCTGAAATGTGCGCTCAGACTGCCTTCTAAATGTAAGATCTGATGTCATGAAGCGTCCAAGGGTACTTTTTCAGAAGCGTAGTCATTTTCGTCCACCCGTTTGCCACAACTTAACACGCGCTCGGGTGGGGGGGGGGGGGGAAATTAACCCCCGAAGATTTCTCCGGAATGGTTTTCGAACGGAGCGGCGTAGCCGCTACAAATTTAGCCTAGCTGTACACAGTTGAATAGCAGATCGCTTGACTTAAAGAAATGAGACGTACATCGTAAGGTCGCTGACCTATGGCAGGTCAAAGTCAGGCCATGGTTTCAGCGAAGGCAATTTCTAGGGAATCCTGCAATATCATCCAACAACGGAGTGTTAGACGGAGCCGTACATTTCTGAGATGCTTTCTTAGGAAACACAACAGTTGAATGAGCAAGTTTCATTGACCTAAGGTCAGGTATACAGGTCACACCAAGGTCAAAACCAACCTCTTTTATTACTCTAGGGCTTGCTGTATGGGATAGTTTCTGGCGCTCATTTCGAGTTCATTGATAGCAGGAACCACATTATGCATCTTTCATGGGCTTCTTAGAGTTCAGAATAGGTCATTAACCTAAAATGACCCAGGTCAACATTTTGTTTTAGGAACATACTGCCTGGCGTAATCTTTGTCGCTTAGTCAAATACAAGACTCAAAGCAATCTCGTATGATTTCGGTCACCTTGACCTTCAAAAGGTCAAAAAGGGTCACTGACCCTGAATAAGAATGTGTCCTTTTGCTTAGAAACGGTTATCTAGGTTCTGGGGCACTTTGGAAACCAACCTAAAACTTGACCTTATTTGGCCTTTTTTGACCCGAAGGTCATGACCTAGGAACCTGAAACTTTGACCTAAGTAAGTTAACGTACAGGTCAACACACCCTGAAAATTTGGTGTTTTTAGCTTTCCTGTTTCCCGATGTCTCAGCGGGGTCAAATTGAGCCCCCCCCCCCTCCCACCCGAGCGAAGGGTATCTAGGCGGTCACCCGGGCGCTTGTTAATATCAGCTGCCAGGCCAACGCCGCGCGGCCTACGGAGAACGCAACGCCTGTGCCCGAGGCTTGTGTTTCTAAAATTTTCGAGTGCGCATGCTCAAAATTACGTCACATAAGTTGTATTACTAGTCGATTAAAGTGTTTAAAGGTAATCACTTCAGAAGCGTCGTCATTCTCGTCCACCGGTGGGACATGGCTAAATATTAGCTACTGGGCTAACGTTCTGCGGACTATGGAAACTGCAATGCCTAGTGTAGAGGTTTTTGTTGCGAAGATTTGCGAGCGCGTATGTTAAAAGACACGTTACATAATTTGTATCACTAATCGACACTGGCTAAATGGTGAACATTTTCAGGCATTTCAGGAACATTTTCGGAAAAAGATTCTGATGCAGGTGTCCAACACGTGTTTCATACACCACGTGGTAGTAACGCTGGTCCAAAAGTATGCAACAAAGCATCCATACGATCAGTTGGCAGTCATTCACGCGGGAGACATCCGGGCCAGGGTAGTGGCCAACGACGGCCCGCCGCGCACCGAGCGAACTCGCCAGTGCTGCCAAAAAATAGAAGGCATGTGGTAAGACGAAGCCCTGCGGCTCAGGCTGTATATTGACACCCGTCTGTACTGAACCAATCGCGGTTGTAGACCTGGGTGAAACGTGTATTCAATTACCACAATCGACCGATCATTACTGTTTGTGTGTTGATAAGGATGTAATATTTTTAACGTCGTACCACAATCAAACAGTAGTTATAACTCTCAGTGCTTCACATTGACAAGCCACGTTACCGTCTCTACGGTGTCAATCGGTCCGCGCTCGCCGCAGCCTGGCATCAAACACAACCAGCGCCACCACTTGCCAGAAAGCTTCACCGCGAAACAAGATAGAGCGAGTTTTCCATTTCAATAGCGCTTAGGGACCGGCTATAACCAGAAAACGCTGTAATGGAATATGCGACCTGTATGAACATGTATCGCCCGTGTAGTTGTCAGCTGGTGCCACCGCATCTGTACTCATGTGTTATCTGCATCGACCAATGAGAACACTCAACATTTAAACATGTATTATTGTGACCTGCATCCTGCATGCCCGCAGAATACTCATCTACCTCCACTAACAACATTTCTTATGAGAGTCTGTCGGCCCATGTCCAACCCAGTATACTGCAGCAGACCAATCACACAACGTGCGTGGACAGATCTGGTGCCAAATGTGGCAAATACCGTCAAATATGTTTGGGTAAGTGCCTACGCACACCTTGGGTAGCGTGATCGCTTTTCTGATATCAGGCCGCCACTTAAGCGTGTACCTGCAGAGGGTGAAGCAGTCTAACAGGTGGAGCAGTGCCATCAGGATCGGCTGGCTGATCATTGGCCGGATCACCTTAGAAATGTCTCCTATTTTTGAATGGCAGACGAGGCCTGACATCATGACAGACAAAAGTAAATCCCACGAATCAAGTCATCAAAACGTCTGACCTAGAAGGCGAGATATTTGTACTTTTGCCCGTGACTACCTAATGCAAAAATTCAGACATGTTCACGTAACGTGACCCTTGCGGCATAGCATGCGCCAATGATTTCATCGGCTGCAGAGGTGAGCCGATCGCAGCGGAAAGCACAACACAATTATGGATGAAGCCATTTTCTGTGTGCACGCACGTTACATGCAAATCCGTCTCGAAATGGAATAATGCTGAAGCAAAAGTATGACACGCATATCACAACAAATGCCTTCATCCAACATTGAACAGCCCCACATCATAAACCATTATACAAGTAGATCAGCTCCTCACCACGTATCACTGTGTACAGCCACGTCCACGTCATCATTGAGAATCGTGCATCTGACCAGGGATGCCTTCGTCACTGAGTCTATCTGATCATTCTCGCCACCGACGCGCTGCGTCGCCTCACGGTGGCCGGCCACCATAGATCCAGGCATGGTTCAGCTGCCGCTGGAGTCGGACGCCCAGCTTGCGGTGTCGGATCTGGCCGGGACGGTCGGCACGTCCGGCGGCGGCACGAGCTCGCCACCCCGCTGCAGCGCGTCCGGGTCCAGGCCCTCCTGGCACATCTTGAGCCGCACCGCCGGCTCCGGCACGCCCACCTCCAGCATACGGAAGTAGCGACGGTAAGGCTCAGTTTGCCGCAAGCACAGCAGGCCGGCCGTCGACGGGTCGTCAGCGGGCTGGACTGCCGCTGACTGATCGCCACCCAACGGAGGCGGCGCCGACAGGTCAACCTCCGCCTGCGCAGGTCCCACCGATTCGCCACTGGTGGGAGCTGGTCTCTGAGGTGGGGCTGTCTGTCGTGTCGCCAGGTCAGGGACAGAAGACAGCTGGAACATGGAGCCCATATGATTCGTCTACAGTTCCTTAACCTGGCTCAATGTCGGGATAATAGGTGCTACTCAATCTGGTAGAGGTTTGCAAACAGCAATGGCTGCCTAACTCCTCATGCAATCCATGGTGCTGACTAAATGTGCACAACATCTAAAAATGCATTTTACTTCCACTACGGTATTACAGAAATTACTACCAACCTTCTACTCATAGTTGGTATCACAGGAATGCAGACTGTGTGACTAATGACACAGTACACTACACAGTTTTTACATAATCTTGTGATTCATTTGGAGTAGTTGCCAAAGTTCTGTATGCACACAGAATTTCCTTGTTCCTAGTCAATAGGAAGGGCGCTGCATGACCTTCAGCAGTCGATGCACCCAAAAACCCCAAATCATCATCATCATCATCATAGTCAATAGGAATAGACACAGACTCCACCTGATGGTAATGTCATGCACATGCCCACAATAGAAATCAAATTTGCTTGTCTGGAAAAATATTTTTCCACCAATCACAAATTTGGTTTACCTTTGCCTCAAGAATGGACAGCATGGTCTCCAGCTTTTCTAATCTGTTGTCAACTGTGATGAGTTTGTCTTCACAGTTGGAAGCAAATTTGTTAAGGAATGTCACTGTCTGGCATACAAACTCATTGATGAATGTAATAATTCGCTTCTGGCTCAGGGCATCCACCTGAAAAAAGTCATTAAGTTAGCATGCCATCAAAAACAACCTGGAGCCCAGCAGATTATGGCCACTAGGCTCAGCCACAAAGGCCATTATGTCATCTTAAAATGATGGATATATCATTTTCGGGAACCCCAGGCTGCATCACACAAATATTCAGCTGTTGGGCCCGATGAAAATGGTTTCGAAGGCAACTACAGAAGAAATAAAGGGATCATTTTTCAATCCATTAGCATCTTTATTTTTGCTGGGTTTCTACCCCACACAAAATCTGCAGTGATGGCCTAAACATGGGGCAAACATAAGACAGCTGTGAAACTAAAAAGTGAAATTGTGACAGAACACTAAGTTACAAATGTGTGTAAAACAGCTTACAACCCCTGACAAAGTGCATCAACAATACCCTTTAGACTGACTTTTTAGGGTGAAAAATTATTCTGAATAAGAATTACACCCTCACATCAGAACAAACTACCAAATAAAGCCCGTTTAGTCGGGCAAATTCATTTAAATATGCATGTTATCAATTGATGTACAAAAAAGTTTTGCTTACAGTTCACAAGGAGTGCAATTCAACCCAGTGTCACAAACATCACAGCCTTACCTCTTCATAATTGACCCCAGAGCCAAGAGTGGGCACTTGGTCAGATTCCATAGCACAAATATTGTGAGCCTGAAAAAATGACACTTTTAAAATGGTACATGGGAAGATAACAAATGTGAAGAGGTCATTTATGATGCATCATTGAACTCATGGGTGACAATATGACTTCATGAGACACCAATGCACATGAAGCACAGGGCATCATAGCACCAACTGACTTCAGTGCTTGCATGTTTTAGCACAGGTGACCAGACTGTGACCAATGAGAAAGACTGACTACAGAGCATCCTGGGCTTTTGTTGACACCATTAGTCCGGTATTCTTCAAGTGCTTCACCTTTTTTAGAAGAAGAAAAATCTCCACCGCGAGCGTTTTACGCGCAGTGCGGCACGGGCTCAACCAGCTCGCGTTAGCAGGATTGCCCAACTTTGAAATCATACAATCCAAACGACATCTTTAGCACCAAAAATAAAGAGCAGGCAATTAACATTATACACTACGTCGTTTCGACCACTGCTACTCACAATGCTCGCATGATTGCCTATCATCTTCAAGAAATAACCATCTGATAATATAATAATTTCGGCCACAAACAGGTCATATGATTTTTAACACGCGGACAGCCGACGATTTATAGCATGTACTAAAAGGGCAACATAAGCACCAAATTACGTACATTCGAGCAATTAAGAAAAGTATCCCAGTTCTTCACATTCGTGTCTCGAATTGATATTTCCAAACAGACAGCACAGAGAAAAACCCAACAATGTCGGCGGAACTGAAGCATTTCCAGCAGTCTTAAAAAACGGGCCAAGCCACGGGAACCAAACACCGAAGCCAAGACAACGTTTTCGGTACGGTGCATTGACGTCTATTAGCGCAGTGCATCTCATACACGAGTCCGGATAATGTGATTCACACTGATTAGGACCAAACACATCGTGACGACATTGTCGCTTAAACTACAACACTTGGATTCAATTAATATGACTACTCCGTTTGCCGTGACATGCTGCCATCATGTCGTGCAGAGGGACTGTCGTAGTACCCTCTTAAAGTAGTGCACCTCTTGTACAATTCCAACGAGCGAGGCTTGAAATCGCTCTGACATCCAGAGACACACTCTGCCGAGATAATATGCCAACAGCCACCCTAAGGAAACGGATCAAGCCTCGGGAAACGAAGACTGAAGCAAGGCCAGCGTTTTCGGTACGGTACATATACGTCTGTTAGCGTAGTGCACCTCACACACGAGTCCGGATAATGCAATTCCCACCTTTAGAACTGAACACGTCGTGCTGACAATGTCGATGGACCTGCAAGACTTCGGTCCGATGAATAAGACTCATGCATTGCCGTGAGATGCTGCAATCATGTCGTGCAGAGGGACTGTCGTAGCACGCTCTTAAAGTAGTGCACCTCTTGTACAATTCCAACGAGCAAGGCTTGAAATCGCTCTGACATCCAGAGACATACTCTGCCGAGATATTATGCCAACAGCCACCCTAAGGAAACGGATCAAGCCCCGGGAAACGAAGACTGAAGCAAGGCCAGCGTTTCGGTACGGTACATATACGTCTATTAGCGAGTGCACCTTACGCACGAGTCCGGATCATGCGATTCACACTTATTAGGACCAAACACATCTTGCTGACGATGTCGGTGGATATTCCAGACCACGGTCCGATGAATAAGACTCATGCATTGCCGTCAGATGTTGCCATCATTGGCGGACGGACTGCAGTAGCACCCTCTTCAAGTAGTACACCTCTGGTATAATTCCAATTGGCGGGACCTAAAAACCGCTCTGACATCCAAAGACATACTCTACCGAGATAATATGCCAATAAAAATCCTAAGGATACGGACCAAGCCTTGGAACCGAAGACTGAAGCTAGGCCAGCGTTTTCGGTACGGCACATATGCGTCTATTAGCGCAGTGCACCTCATGCACGAGTCCGGATCAGACGATTCACACTTATGGAAATTAAACACATCGTGCTGACAATGACGGTGGAACTGCGAGACTTCGGTCCGATGAATAAGGCTGATGCATTGCCGTGAGATGCTGCCATCATGTGCGGACAGGCTGTAGTAGCACCCTCTTAAAGTAGTACACCTCTTGTATAATTCCAATTGGCGAGACCTAAAAACCACTCTGAAAGGCAAAGACACACCCCGCTGAGATAACATCCCGACACGGACCCTGAGGAACGAAGCCAAGCCCCGGGAACCGAGGACCGAAACAAAGGCAACGGTTTAGGTACGGTACATATACGTTTAGTCGTGCGGTGCACCTGAAACAAGAGCCCTTACAACGCGATTCACACTAAGTAGAAATAAACACATTGTGCCGACAATGTCGGTTGAGCTGCAATGGTTTGATTCAATGAATAAGACTCATGCACTGTCGTGGGATGTCACCATCATGTGCGGACAGACTGTAGTAGCATCTTCTTAAAGTAGTGCGCCTCTTGCATAATTGGTTGGCGAGACCTAAAAACCGCTTTGTCATCCAAAGACACACTGTACCGAAATAATGTGTCAACAGCAATTCTAAGGGAACGGACCAAGCCCCGGAAACCGAAGACCGAAACGAGGCCAACGTTTTCGGTACGGTACATATGTATTTATAAGCGCAGCGTACCTTATACCATCGTCAGCAAGATGTGTTTAGTCCTAATAAGTGTGAATCGCATGATCCGGACTCGTGTGTGAGATGCACTACGCTAACAGACGTATATGTACCGTACCGAAAACGCTGGCCTTGCTTCAGTCTTCGTTCCCCGGGGCTTGGTCCGTTTGCTTAGCGTGGCTGTTGGCATATTATCTCGGCAGAGTACGTCTTTGGATGTCAGAGTGGTTTCTAGGTCTCGCCAATTGGAATTATACAAGAGGTGTACTACTTGAAGAGGGTGCTACTGCAGTCCGTCCGCCAATGACGGCAACATCTGACGACAATGCATGAGTCTTATTCATCGGACCGAAGTCTTGCATATCCACCGACATCGTCAGCAAGATGTGTTTAGTCCTAATAAGTGTGAATCGCATGATCCGGACTCGCGTGTGAGGTGCACTACGCTAACAGACGTATATGTACCGTACCGAAAACGCTGGCCTTGCTTCAGTCTTCGTTTCCCGGGGCTTGGTCCGTTTGCTTAGCGTGGCTGTTGGCATATTATCTCGGCAGAGAACGTCTTTGGATGTCAGAGTGGTTTCTAGGCCTCGCCAATTGGAATTATACAAGAGGTGTACTACTTGAAAAGGGTGCTACTGCAGTCCGCCCGCCAATGATGGCAACATCTGACGGCAATGCATGAGTCTTATTCATCGGACCGTGGTCTGGCATATCCACCGACATCGTCAGCAAGATGTGTTTAGTCCTAATAAGTGTGAATCACATGATCCGGACTCGTGTGTGAGGTGCACTACGCTAATAGACGTATATGTACCGTACCGAAACGCTGGCCTTGCTTCAGTCTTCGTTTCCCGGGGCGTGATCCGTTTCCTTAGGGTGGCTGTTGGCATATCTCGGCAGAGTATGTCTCTGGATGTCAGAGCGATTTCAAGCCTTGCTCGTTGGAATTGTGCAAGAGGTGCACTACTTTAAGAGGGTGCTACGACAGTCCCTCTGCACGACATGATTGCAGCATCTCACGGCAATGCATGAGTCTTTTTCATCGGACCGAAGTCTCGCAGTTCCATCGACATTTTCAGTACGACGTGTTCAGTTCTAAAGGTGTGAATTGCATTATCCGGACTCGTGTGTGAGGTGCACTACGCTAACAGACGTATATGTACCGTACCGAAAACGCTGGCCTTGCTTCAGTCTTCGTTTCCCGGGGCTTGATCCGTTTCCTTAGGGTGGCTGTTGGCATATTATCTCGGCAGAGTATGTCTCTAGATGTCAGAGCGATTTCAAGCCTTGCTCGTTGGAATTGTACAGGAGGTGCACTACTTTAAGAGGGTACTACGACAGTCCCTCTGCACGACATGATGGCAGCATGTCACGGCAACAGAGTAGTCATATTAATTGAACCCAAGTGTTGTAGTTTAAGCGACAATGTCGTCACGATGTGTTTGGTCCTAATAAGTTTGAATCACATTATCCGGACTCGTGTATGAGATGCACTGCGCTAATAGACGTCAATGTACCGCACCGAAAACGTTGGCTTGGCTTCGGTGTTTGGTTCCCGTGGCTTGGTCCGTTTTTTAAGACTGCTGGAAATGCTTCAGTTCCGCCGCGCGTTGCCTATTATTCCGTAAATGCGCAAAACTCGTTATATGATGACACCCCACGGTTTCAGCGTAATGTAGTGTCGCGCCAAACGCATCGGGTTTGTGCAGCTGCCGTCGCAGTGCCGGCTGGCGGGAGGATGAGCCGACCCCTGCCCGTCCTGAAACTTGGCACTGGAGAGGAGGAAAAAGTGCCAGGGGACGGCCGGCGGTGGTGGCATACCCCGATCCCTTGGCACAGCCGCAACAAGGGCCTTGGCTCGACTAATCGGTTTTGACGAGAAAGACGGACGAAGCCGCATTCGAATTAAAAGTGGGGACAGAACTTCCACATTTTAATCAAAATTAAACCCGTTCTTGTTTATATCGTGTTTGTGCCACTTTCAGTGTAGAGTTGCATTGATATTAAAGCTTAATGGGCAGCACCCCGGCTTTTTTGACTTGAGTCTAATATGACCTGGAGGAATTTTAACTAGCAAAAAGGATCTCATCCAACATCTGTTGACAACGCTCATTGACAAGCTAAAGAAGAGTGCAATAATGGCATGTTTCTTTTGAAAACCACGCTGAATACCGGCCATAAGTTGCACAAGGCTGTCCGTAGTGCACCGTCTTGGCCGGCAGTCGTTCTAGTGTGGTGAAAGAAAGCGGCTGGACTGAAGATATGCCGTGATGCGAGCAGTTACCATGCATTCAAAATATTTCAATCCACAACTGGTCAACGCGATAGATCGAAAACTAGATAATTCAGGAGGAGGCTTGTGAGGCTTGGGAATGGATATAATAGTGCTAAACGTGAAGTAAGAAAAAGGTGTCGTTCAACCATATATCTTTATAAGCTCAAAGAAGATTTGTAAGCCCAGCATCAAAAAAGTGTTTGACGAAAGGATATGTGAGTTGTTGAGGGCCCGCGGACTTCGCTGATAACAAGATTTAGCTCGTAACCTATTTGCATACTTCGGTCTCGTCGGTATCAAAATTACATGTCGAGGGGGTGTCGTTCAGGAATACAATAGTGTGCGTCGTGTACTGTTACCGGGATGAAACTTGCGCGAGGTGTTTGGTAAACATTGTGGCGA